CAACAGAGTCAGGATGTGAGTCTCAATCGCCTTGCGCTGCCTTGAAAACCCAGAAAGCAGATGAACCGAGGCTCTTTCTACACATCTGTTCCATAAAGGTAGATTTGTCATTCAGAAAAGTCCTTACTACGGGTTAATACATTAGAAGACAGGTTCAGGCTTCCACGACCAGGTTGGCCCTGCTTTGTTCTTGTCCTATGTTATGATTCCTGCCCCTTTCTCATGATTCTTTTTTTCTTGCCTAAAGACCATGATTGGCCTGGTTTTCAGGGTCCCTGTGCCTCAGCCTCCTAAAAATGAGGGTGTTCCAGGTTATCTGCATCTTTGCGCTCTTCAGTCTACGTCTCTCCTCATCTCTCTCCTCATCTGCAGTTGTTACCCCTGCAGCCCACCCCATGAGGATTCCTTTCTTCTGTTTGTTCTCTGTCATCCACTAACCACTAATCTTACTGTGTTCCCCCTCCTCCTTCTCCCTCACCATTTATACCATTTATTTGGCTGGAGCTTGCCCCTGCACAAGCAGGGAAACCCCATCTGCCCTCCTTCCCCTAACCCTGCCCACACTGAGAAAACTCCGAACAAAGGAATGGCACCAAAAGCCCTGTTCCTCATTTCTGAATGCAGAAGACAACCCTACTTTCTGACATGGCTTGTTCATCCCAATGTCCGCCCAGGGGCTTAGCTTTAGACCATACTTGGGCACAGTCCCAACTCCTGGGGGACACATTATCACCCCCTCACCTAAGGTCTATAAAACCTCCCCATCTTAACTCAGGCACCTGTGTGACTTCTCTGGCCCAGGTGAACGCGCCCGGGAGTAATGCCAAATAAACTTGCATTTATATGCTTTTAATCTGGTCTGATCTGGCCTTTGCATCACCAACAATAGCTAATATGCAAGTACTCATCGTATTATCAATGTCTCTTTACTCCCTAAAACGATTACAGCTTAAGGATGTGTCAAGTCCTGACTGGAACAATAAGGGAATGAAGGAAGAACAGACTCGTGTGCAGAAAAGCTGGAGTCAGGTGGGCTACGGGCACTCTGATGGAGTCGCACTGTAGAGTGAAAAATTATAGATATTGGGTATATAGAATCCTTTTTAGACATATAAAATATTCTTTAGGCTTTCTTTATAAGGACATGGAAAATTTTCTGAGAAACAGAGCCATGAAACAAGTTAAGAATATAGACAGGCTAGTTACGGGAACTGGCTAGAATGCAAGTTAGCCAGGTAAAACCAAGCTGAGAACCAAGCTGAGAACCAAGCTGAGAACCAAGCTGAGAACTGCAGTGACAGGGTAAGGCCAAAGTAACAGGGCAGGACCACATTCTTGAGAAAGATAACCGTACAGAGAGTTTTCACCTGATCCTGACTCACGTAGGTTGGGTTCCTTTGGAATGTTCCACTATTTTTATGTTATACCACCCTAACAACCCCTCATCCCCCTCCCCATTCCTTGGTTTGTGGTTTTTTCCCCTTAAAAACCCCTCTCAAACTGGCTGTTGGGGTCAATTCAGCTCCTGCGTGGGCATACGAATTGACCGGCAGCTAGCTGTTACATGCCCTAATAAACCTCGCTATTGCTCCGGTTCATGGTGTCTCGAGCAGATTACCGGGTGGTCTCGACTTTCTGAGACTTGAGTGAGGGTCTCCCCTCTGTGGAGGTCTTCAGCACCAACAGTCTGGAAAGGCAGCACAGTGGAGAAGCCCCTGGGGACAAACAATCTTAGGCTGAAACAGCTGGGCCAGGAAGTTGCAGGTACTAGTTTTGAAAATACTACATAATTGTACACCAGTGCCCATACTCGTCAAAGTTTGCACTGGAACCAAAAGAAGATGTTACCATCCCACTGAACCTTACCCTAGGGGAAACCAAAAGAAGTTGCACCCCTCTGAACTTTACTCTAGGGGGAAAGGCTTTGTCACTTCCCATGCCAGCATCAGGTCCTTGACATGGCTGCACTCACAATACACATTCACTCTGGGCTCTAATGTAATCTTTGAGTTCACTCAGGCTATGCATAGGGGTGAGTTGTATGGCTGACTATGACTCTGTGTCCTTCATATTGAGTCTAATCCTGGATAGTGACTTGCTGTCTTGGCCCATTTGCTATGCTACAACAAAGTACCATAAAGTAGGTAGGCTATTGTTTTCATCAGGGTTTCTATTGCTGCAATGAAACACCATGATCACAAAGCAAGTTGGGGGAGAGGGGAGTATTTTGACTTACACTTCCACATTGCTGTTCATCATTAACAGAAGTCAGGACAGGAACTCAAGCAGGCCTGGAGCCTGGAGGCAGGAGCTGATGCAGAGGCCATGGAGAGATGCTGCTTACTGACTTACTCTTCAAGGCTTGCTCAGCCTGCTTTCTTATAGAACCCAGGACCATCAGCCAGCGATGACACCACCCACAATAGAGTGGGCCCTACCCCACCAATCACTAATTAAGAAAATGTCTTACAGCTGGTGTCTACTCCATTTTCTCAACTTAGCTTCTCCCTCCCTTCAAATAACTCCAATTTGTGTGTCAAGTGACCTAAGACAAGCCAGCACAGCATTAAACAATGGGAATATATTTTTCAACAGCGAGGGAGGGCTAGGAATAGAGCCTGATTGCCTAACCCTGCTACAACCTAGTCCCTCCTGAACATTGCAAATGCTTCCAACTAAAATAACAAACTTTATTTAAATAATAACAAAAGCAAACCAACTACCTAGCTCCTGGTACACAAGTTCCATTGTAAAAACACAAATAACAGCAGCAACAACAAACCAAGACATATCTCCTCCAAATTCTACCCATCCAGAGTAATGTGCCTCAACAAGAGTGACCTAGATGAAATTCCAGACAAAGATTCCAAACAGCATGACGATAAATTCATTCACAGAGATGAAAGAAGGCATAAACAAACAAAGCTGAATGAAGTCCCAGAGAACACAAACGGCTGAATGAAATACGGAAGTCAATGTAGTATGTGAATGGAATTCAGTAAAGACAGAGATGCCCAGGGAACAACCTGAAAGGATGCTGGAAAGGAAATGATGCAGTACGTCAAGTAAAGCCCCACGGAGAGCTCCCAGAGGACCGTCACAAGGAGGACAAAGGATCACAGCGTGAGGACAGGGAGAGAAACAACAATCAAAATTGTTCTAAAATGTAAATGTAAGATGCATGATCTTTGGGACACCATTAGAAGATGAAATCTAAAACTATGGGCACAGAATAATGGATGTTTCCTTGAGACTGAAACAGCCCCTCCAGAAAGGACTAAGGAGGGAAAGAGAAGATCACCTACCTGGGTGATCTTGTTAGGTGGGATCCTAACCCAGATCACCCAGAGGCTCCTCCCCAGCTGTATAGAAGCAGTTCACAGCTGCCTGGAGCCACACTCCGACCGGCTGGGCTGCAGACAAGCCTTCCTGATTGCTGAACTACCTGGGAGCCAAGCAGAGGACTCAGTGCAACTTTCCAGTGAGTTGTCAACCAAGCTGGGGTGGGTTTTTCGGTGCTGCTTTCTGGGGTTGGGGCAGGAGTTCCAATTTTCTTGTTACCGGTAGTGAGATGTGTAATTAGGACTGAGCCGTAGTGGGTCAGAGTGGGAATCCGAAGTCTATGCTGGTTCAAGGTAGATCTAAGCTAAAAAACATTCCCTGAGGAACAAGAGCATGAAGGTAGCTTGTTGAGTTCATGGATGGAAGTGGATTTTACAAAGCGGAGGCTTTGGCAAACCTGAATGACCTAGACTGGGATATGCATCTAAGTCCCTAAGGTGACAAAACAATCTCAAAGAGATCAAATTAGGACCAAACAGGGAGAAAAAAAAAGTCTGTCCAAGTCACTTGGAGGGAAATGTGACAAGATCTGTGTCAATTGAACTCTTGAGGGAAAAGAGCTGACAGCTAGACACCACAGAAATCAATTTATAATACAATCTGCAAATTAATCTAAAATGTCAGGTGGGGGAGGACCATGATGGGGGAATTACAGAGGGACCTAGGGGAGTCTGGGGATGACAAACATCTATTGTATGTTCATTATCTTGTCTGCTATGATGGTTTCAAAGGCAACGAGACCTAGGGTATGTCCAGGTTTTGTTTGTCAGTTATACTGCGATAAAGCTGGTCATTACAAAAAGAATGAGAGACGCTATATGTTAACGTAGAATTGTGTTCCAGAATGCTGTGTGCGGCTTGATCTCATACTTTGAAACATTTTTAAAACAAGCTTTAAATAAATCCATAGCCCATTGTGCATTCTTTTCGCGCTGGCAGGCTGGCAGCTCACCGGTAACCTTCTGCAGTCCTGGCCTGCAGCTCAGAATCTGAGAGGCTAGCATTGCTGCTTCCCATCAAGGTCCATCAAGCATCTGCTTGGTGGTAGTGGGGTGTCCTTCTCAAGTTAAAACCTGGAAACTGGTACTGTTAGTTTGGGTCAATTATTTAACTGAATACTCGCTAAGCATACCGCTTGTCACTTAAGGAGCACTCTCATAGTGGCCCTGGGACCACCAAAGGACTTCTAGAGGCCTGGGAACCTGCACAAGGTGAGACCTTGGGCTCCAACAGATAGGCTGGGGGCGGGGCGAGGCCACCTGAGTCAGAGCCTCTAGGGGTGGAGCTTCTACCAATGGGCGGGGCTCGGGGGGTGGGCATCAGGGTCTACCTTTCGATGAACCCTGAACTGAAACATAGCGGCTGGGGGCGGGGTGAGATTGATGCGGGGGGGCAATAGCTGAGAGGCAGCCACTTCCGGGGGGCGGGGTGTAGGCGGGGACAAGGTATAAAACAGCTGCTGGGGGCGGGGCGAGGCTGCCCGGGGGCGGGGATTCGAGGGGCGGAACCGTAGCACACTGGGGCAAGTTTTCCTGGAGGGGCGTGGCGTGGGCGGGGCTTGGCCTGTGATGCCCATTCAGTCAGTGTCCGCGGCTTTAGGCGGTCCTGGAGCCCGCCCACCTGAGAAGGTGGCTGCTGGCGTTCGTCACGCAGAGTCCTGCGCTTGACCCGAGGGCCTGCCTGGGGCTGGCTGCCCTCGGAGCGCCTACTCAGGTAACGTTTGTGGCGCAGCACTAGGGAGCCGGCGGGGCGGGCCGGGCCGAACCGCAGGAGCCCCCCGGAGCTGCCTGGCGGTGGAGGCGGGGGCGACTCCGAGCCCGCTCGAAAGCGAGCGTGCCGAGCCGAGCCGCCCCCCACTCCCAGCCCCCGGGGGCTCTTCAGCTCTCCCGCCGCTGGCTCTGTGGAGCGTCTTTCCGCTACGCTAGGTTCTGGCTGTCCCCAAGCCCTGTTTCTCAGGACAGTTAGAATGTAAGATAAGTTGCGCGGAGCAGTTTTAGAGCAGTGCATGTGCACCGCCATCTGTATTCAGTTTTTACACTTTCAACTCTGCCCCGGGTTGGCTTTCTCCCTAGTCCAGTCTGGTTGCAGGGATATGGGGCAGGCTCCTCGGTGCCCATCTACCTTAGGGATTCCTAAGGGATGGTCCGGGTCAAGTTCTGTACCACCTCTCTGGCATCCTCGCCTCTCTGAAGGTGTTTTCAATCCAAGTACATTTTGCAAACTTGAGTCTTCAGATGATGTACTTTAAAATGAGTTTATCTATTCAAAAAAAAATTGAAGTTAACTTTGTAAGTAAATATATCTTAATACCACGTAGAAATCTGAACTATACCGATTTATACAGCTAATAAACCAGTACATGTAATTATGAACTACTTAAAGTTTCATGCTATCTCTCCGTAGATATCAAGTAAAATGTGAATTTTCAGAGTCCTTTTCTGTCTGATGTGTATCCTTAGTACAGCTTCCGGTGTAACTTCTAGCAAGTGCTGCGATATTAACACAAACTAGTTTTCATGTGGGCAAAAATAATTGTTTTATTATTAATAACTTACTAATAAAATCACTTAATGTATATAATGACTTATAGATAACCTAAGTATAAAATTACTATATGCCCTAATGATGGTTTTGTGGGGTTTTTTTTCCCCCAAGACTGAAAGTGAAGTCAAATGGATGTTGGTGAGTATCCCATGGCAGCAGCATTTCATTGGCTCAGCAGGAACTGTAACTCGGAAGCCATCTTCAGGTAAGAAAGTCTTGAAAAAGAAGTGACCCATTTCTTTAACATGAAAAGAAATGGTCAGGACTTTTAGATAGATGGCCCCATATATTTAAGACAGAATTTTTATATAAACATTTCCAAGACAAAAATTTAAATGGGAATGCAATATGACCAAGTAATGGTCTGTATTCGTAAATCATTTAATGTGATCCATATTATCTAATTAAATAATGAACAAATGACCAAAAAGTATTTCTAAGTAATAAAAATCATTTATCTTACATTCTAAAATATACTGACATGTAGCTACAATGTGCTATATGAAGTTTGTAATTGAGAGGGTAGTTTAATGCTCTATTAATTTATGTGAGGAGAAAATTAACATGCATTTTTACTAAATTGTTGGTATCAATATATTATCTTTAAGAGGTTTATTTGCTTGTATTGGTATTTTGCCTGCATTTGTGTCAGTGTACCTGGTGTGTGCCTGGTGCACGTGTGGGTGCTGGGAATGAAACTAGGTCCTCTGTAAGAGCAGCAAGTGCTCTTAACCACTGAGCCATCATTCCAGCTCCTAATAACACTGATGGTTAAGTAAACTGGCAATGTAATGAGTTGAGTAATTGAACAATTCTTGCTATAAACAACCAAACTACATTACACAATCCCTCTGTGTAGAGAACTATAAGGCAGTTATATAAAACCTGGCATTTGGATAAAGTCTTTATTTGTCTTCACTGCTTTTCTAGTAAAGTTTTATACAAGGGATAGCTTCTCTAAATTTAGTAAAATTTTAACTATTTTGTAGGCTACTAAGTGAAACAGTTTATAGATATATTATATGAATGTCTTCTGTCTCTGAGTTTAGAATCCAGCCTCTGCTCCTTTACTACACACACACTCACACACACATACATATACATATATACACATAGATATGTACACATACGAACATACATGTACACACATACATATATACATACATATACACATACATACACATATATACACACATATACACACATATACACACATACATATACACACATACATACGTATATATACACATACATATAAACACATATACATAGATATTCACAATCATACATATACACACATATACATACACATATACACATAGATATTCACAATCATACAAATACACACATACATACACATATACACACATGTACACACATACATATGCACACATTTACACATATACACATATATACATATACACATACACACATACATATTATATACATACACATATATACAGATACATACACATATATACACACATATACACAGATATATACACACATACACACATAGATATCTGCACACATACACACAGATATACACACATATACACATATACACATGAACACATACACACATGAGCACACACAGTTTTTAAGAGAAGGAACTGTAAAGAGTACATCTGTAGGCTGTGCTCTGAATCGTTGCTTTGCGTTGCATGACAGGTTTTAAGTTACCTGTATAACTGTTCAGTCAGATGGAGATGCTTACAGTAACTCTTTCTTTGATGTTTGAGATACAGGTTGGCAGGGTTTTGTTTCCCATTGCAGTTCCCAAGCCCTAAAAATGACCTTTCCTATTTTTCAGTGATTTTATAGGTCAGTCTTGCTTCTGGGATCCAACTTTATGTTGTGGTTAAGAAATGTTTCACATCACTCGGACTGAACCACAAGACAGATGCACTTACGTTGTAAATAACTATTTCAGTAGATTTGAAGGTATGTTCAGTTCTGACACTGCATTTGTACATATGTTCCTTGATCGATGGGTGAAGTGAGGGTTAAGTTGTTAATCAGAGTTAAGTTCTGGACCATTTTCACCTGTGTTAAGTCCCTCAGGTAATTGCATATTTAATAGTTTGTATTCTTACATAAATCAGTGAGAAGATCAAAGATTAATTGTTATATATATTTGCATGTGTGGTCTTCAGAGTGTTAGGTACTTTGTAGTATACCCATTAGTTAACACCTGGAGAGTCTTTCTGGGGGAGAATAATATCCATTCATACATTCTTTACTAGTGAGCACAGAGGCTCAGATATGTACACATAACAACTCTGCTATGTCCACATTTCCCAGAATTCTCATCTCCAAGCTGTCACCTGAAAGTCATCATACACCATGTGGTTTTCTGTCAGAGTTGTGACCCGGCTTATTGTTAACTCAGCAGCATTTCTTGAGCGTGCACTGATCACACAAAGTGCTGTAATCCTCGTGGGAGCTTTATGAGTGCTCCGATCCCTGCTTTACAGATGAGGAACCAGGGTTAGAGTCACAAAGGGTTAGTCCGTGCCATGGCTGAGACTTTTCCCAACTTTTAGTGCTTTTAGTTTGGTTGTACTGTCTCCCAGATTTCCCAGTAGTGTAACAGAATTTCAGTGTGGTGTTTCCTTTGGAGGATACAGTAAGGATCAGCATTGGACCACGGGGAAAACACAAAGTGGGGTATTTGCTACTTTGGATGCTTCCTCTAACAGGTCACCCCAGCCACATCTCCCTCACACAAATGCAACCACGTGCAATTCTCCTTTGTTCTTTCATGCAGTTTGCTCAACTTCAGTCCTATGGTTTACCGTTTTCCAGCCATTGATCCTGGTTTTGAGCACAGGTTTGGTCTTCCCTCTGTCCTTAGTAGCACAAAGTAGCACCAATCACTGCATGAAATGGAAGATTATTGTTAGAATTATGTCTGTTGGATTATTTTCTTCTTCTAATATTATTTTATACAATTAGAGTCCAAATGCTCTGTGGGGAAGTAAAAAAGAAACAAACAAACATTTTCTGGTACTTACAGAATGAAGAGGAGTAATTTCTCTGCTGCGAATAAAGTTGTCCAGTCATCACCAGTAGTGAAACAACCCAAACGTGGGCTCTGCAGTTCCCTCCGCCAGACTCATATGCTCTCTGTCCTTCTGGACTGGGGGACCTTACCTCACCATGTCATATTACAGATTTTTCAGTATCTCCCGTTGATAGACCGAGCCCGAGCATCTTCCGTGTGTAGGAGGTGGAACGAAGTGTTTCACAATCCTGACCTTTGGAGGAAGTTTGAGTTTGAGCTGAACCAGTCAGCAACTTCTTATTTTAAGTCCACGCATCCTGATCTCATTCAACAGATCATCAAAAAGCACGCCGCACACCTTCAGTATGTCAGCTTTAAGGTACAGCGCGGCTTCCTGAAGTGTTTATGTTGCCGTGTTCAGTATGTCAGCTTTAAGGTACAGCGCGGCTTCCTGAAGTGTTTATGTTGCCGTGTTCAGTATGTCAGCTTTAAGGTCCCTCATGGCTTCCTGAAGTGTTTATGTTGCCGTGTTCTCTCAACTTGGGTGCTTGCTGTCAAGCACTAGGTAAATCCCCAGGGTTTTTAGCCTACCTCGATTTCTTATTTTTCTCTCGTTATTGCACAGACTGAAATAGAGAATTTAAGCTGTAACTGAATGACACAAAATTCAGTTTTCTGATCTGGCTATTTTTAATTCCCAGATAATTAGAAAGGGCTGAAAGCATGAAGTGCTGCCGAGTTACCTTGTCATCTGTTTCTCCCTTCGTGAGCTCAGACATTTTCTATCAAGATTATCCTTCATACTGATAGAAGGGATTAGCAGAACTTGGTTACTGAATTCCATTAAATAATTGCATTTCCAGTAGTTCTGATAAAGTGCCTTCAGGAAATTTCGATTTAAAATTGTCTTTATAGGTTGATAGCAGTACTGAGTCAGCAGAAGCCGCCTGTGATATTCTTTCTCAGCTGGTAAATTGTTCTATCCAGACCTTGGGACTGATTTCAACAGCCAAACCAAGTTTCATGAATGTGGCAAAAGTAAGAATACTGTACTTCTTGTGGGATATGCTAAACTTCTTTTTAAATGATGTTTGGGTCCATGTATTTTCAGGTGAACACATGTGTACGTGTGTGTGACTGTCAGAGACAACCTTATATGTCAGCCCCAGAAACACTCTGTCACCCTCCTCAAAGACTGAGCTTCTCATTGGCTTGGAATTTACTGATTAGGCTACACTGTCTGACCAGCTAGCCCCAGGCTCTGCCTGTCAGTTAACATTTGACACTGGATAAGCAAAGAGGAGAGACGGAGTTGCTGAGGAGTGACCAGCATTGCCCATCATGGTCGGGAAGTCAGGGCAGCAGGAGCTTGAAGCGTCTGGTCATGAAGCATCCATTTGTAGGCATCAGAGGCTGCTCCATGGGGCTGTTCAGTTCCCATCCCCCTCACAGTCAGGAGTCCAGCCAGGGAACAGTGTTACCCATAGTTAGTGAGTCTCCCGTCTCAGTTAACACAGTCAGGTAATCCTGGGACAGGGAGATGGCTCAGTGGGAAAGGGTGCTTCCCACCAAGTCTAAGAACCTGAGTTTGATCCCCAGAGCCCATACGATGGCAGGAGAGAACCAGCTCCTACAGTTGTGTCCTTTGACCTCTATGAGTGGGCAAAAACATCCGAACATGTGTAAACATACACAAATAAATAAATGAATAAGTACATACATACATACATACATACATACATACATACGTACATACGATGATCCCCAAAGGCTCCGTGGTGAGTTTAGGTTCTGCCGGGTTGATAGCACACACCAAACACCGCATGGAGGACATTTTATCATCTTTACATCATTCATTAGTGCTCAGTGCCATCTTAATGATTAATTTAGCTGTCTTCTCACACTCTAACTTTGAAGCATGAGGCCTTTTTTTTTTTAATCAGCTAATCACCATAAACTCAGGTTAAAATAGTATTTATTTGTTTTTTTTTAAAGTACTTCATTAGAGATGTAGGTAAAACCTGACCCATGGAAACCTCCCACAGTAGATGGATAACTCCTCCTTCTCTCCTGTAAACTGGGTCATGGCTCTCATGGCTAGGCTTTCTGCTAGCTTGTTATCTTTTAAAGAGATAGGCTGAAAAAAAAAATTGGGTCATCTGGGGATTTAGAATACTATAAGTAATCAGATGAAAACTTACTAGGGCTAACTAGATACTTCCTTGTTTACAAATCACAGCATCAGGTTGGCCTCATGCTTCTCGGGTTTTAAAAGATAAGGCTAGCATTTCCCAGAAGCCTCCTGGGCCAGCATCTGGGTTCACTGGTGCAGTTCCCCCAGCAGATGGCAGGCAGTGGGTAGTCTGATCCATCTCAGTGAACTCCTTGGCTTCTGGACACCTTGAGAGGCTCTCCGAGATCCAGTCTTGGTTTTTCTACTTATAAGTTAGTGGGGAAAAGAGATAAAATTGCAGTATTTGGCTAAACATAAAGAGCATAGCAAATTGATTCTAACGAAACATGTGCTCTGCTGTCTCAGTGTCCCTCAAAACAAAACAGCTAATTCAGAGTTGATTAAAGAGGGGAAAAGACCAACTTTATAGTTCTTGAAAAGGAGCTACAGTTCTATAATAATTTAGGAGGTCTTTAGACTCTACTACGTGGAAAACCATTTTTAATTAGTGTGAGTCAACATATTTACATGTTTATAAACCAGCGTGTTCATCCTAACAGGGCCGGTAGAACCTTTAATACAGCTAAAATTGATTTTGTGGAAGGAAAAAGGACGTTGCCTTGGATTTGGTTTCCACACTTTCTGACTTTGCCAGAAATAGTAAATCCAAAAATGGAATTCTGCCTATCTTGAGGGCAAATTATTAATAAGCTTTATTTTGTGATCCTTCAAAACACATAACTAGTTTTATTTACATCATTTAAATCTGCTAGAAAAAAAACCCGTAAGATTATAAGCCTTCATTTATTCTTTGGACAAATATTTATTGACTACTATGTGCCCGACACAGTCTTAGGTCTGAAAACATGGAAGTGAATGAAAGAGGGGAAATGTATATCTCCTAGCAAGTAAGTAGTCAGAAAAGCCCAGAGAACACGTAGTCTAGGGTTTGAGCAGTGCCTCAGCCCCTCAGCCCCTCAGCCCCTCAGCTCTTCAGCTCCAATGCTCCTCAGTGCCTCAGTTCCTTCCTCAGTGCCTTAGCTCCCTTGGTTCCACGGGAAGGCCAGACCAGACAGCGCAGAAAGGGAAGCACGTGGCTGCGCACGCGCTGTGCAGCTTTGGTCTGCGAGCATTAACGTCTGTGCCATGCAGTTGTTGTGGCATGCAGTATTATGCTTCAGATTATTTTCAACCTTTTCAAAATGTTTAAAAAAAACCAAACTTATCCTTCACTCATGAAACACAGAGAAGCAGACTCCATTTGGTTTGTCTGGTGGTCGGTAATTAGCTGAACCCCATTCTAGAAAATAAGTAAAGCTTCTCCTCCTAACATTGGACATCACACTTGTACAGTTGAAATAGCTAAGCATCCTTTACAGGATATTTGGTACTCTTCCTCCCTCATCATTCCATTTCCTGTTTTTCTATGGAACTTTTTGATATAGGAATGTGATACGCCCATTAAGATATCCACACCACAAACAAATTAGTTTCCCCCCAGGGATTCAAAGTTGATTTTGGGTATGTAATACACAAATAGGTTTTAAAATTGAAATCGCATGATCATCTCCCTAGGCACATGAGAGGCCTTTGACAGAGTTCCACACGCTAACATTCCTCTAACACTAGATAAATAACGTTCACTTGAACCACTCTCACTCAGTATATTCATGAAGCCTTAGCTACAGCAATAAAATAAGAGAATAAATAAATAAAAGATAGGAAAGGATAAAGATCAATTATTCCTACTTGCAGACATAATTCTATACTTACAAGATCCCAAAGAGTCCAGAGAAGTCACAAACTTCAGCAAACAAGATACAAGATCACCACATAAAAGCTGTAGCCTTTCTGTTTATTAATAATTAAACTGTTAAGAAAGAAGAAATCAAGAAAAAATAATGCCACCTATAATACCCCCCAAAGGCCCTGAAAGCTCAAGAGTTAAAGTTAACCAGGGAGCATGGCAGTGAAAGACCTCTGCAACAAAAACCTTAAGACAGTGAAGAAAGAAATTTAAAAAGATACTAGAAAATGGGAAACCTCGTGACATAGTGTAAGAAGTAGCTACTGTAGCCGGAGTGATTTATAGATTTAACATGGTCTCCATCAAAACTGCATTGACATTCTTCACAGAGAGAGAAAAACAATTCTGTGACTCATAGGGCAGCTCAAAGAAACCATTACCAAAGCAATGATAGTCAGAAAGAGTGATGTGCTGAACAAACACCGGCCTCGAGTGATAGTGTAGAAACTGCTTGGAACTATCATGAAGCAGACATATAAGCCAGCGTTATAAGACCTAAAACTGAGCTCAGACAGGTACAGACACCTGGGTTTCTACAAAAGTCAAAAACACACATTGGGGGAAAATACAGCAGGGCATCTTCAGCAAATGTTGGTTGGGAAAACCGGATATCCACATGCAGAAGAATTAAACTAGGTTCCTGTCTCTTACCCTGTACAGAAATCATTAGAATAGACTGAAAGATCTAAAGCCAAGCTCAAATATCTACATCCACCTAATCCCCTACAAAAGACAAGAACAACTATAGGATCCAGTTATGCTATGCGGTAAAGTACCTTAGGTCTAACTCACCTACACCAGATGCATGCGTAGCCATGTTTACTGATTTACTACTGTTCATGAGAGCTAAGAAGTAGCACCAGGCTAGTGGTCCATCAATGGACAGTTGAATGAAGCACATCCGTGAAGTAGATACACAGTAGAATTTTTTTCACCCGCAAGACGTGTGAAATAGTGGTATTTGCAGGAAAATATATGGAACTGGAGATCATTATGTTAACTGCAATAGACCAGACAGAAAAACAAATACCGCATGCTCTACCTCATATGCTCTCTGTCTGTCCCTGTCTGTCTGTCTGTCTGTCTGTCCCTGCCTCCCCCCTCTCTCTCTCTCGTGTGTGTGTGTGTGTGTGTGTGTGTGTACACTTGAAATCATGAAAATAGAAGGGATCCATGAAAGAGAGGGAAGGTGAGGCAAACCAGAATACCTATGGCAAGAGCAGGAGTGGTATTTGAAGGGCTCAAGACATCAAAGACAGGTAAATTGGGAGGGTAGGGAAGGGTAGACAGAAGATCGTGACCAACAACAAGGTATAAAGACATATGTGCGTGAAATTGCCAGAACAAAACCCACTCTCCATATACTCGACTTGAAATTTTATTTAAAAAGGAAATAGAAGTGTCTTCTACTGGCTAGGGATACCATGCAAACCTGCTATAGTCATTGTTTTTACCGTGTTTTTTAGCATTTAGCGAATCGTTTTTTAAAGCCACTGGATCGAAACTGTGAGTTTTAAATAACATTTTCGTAACTTTTTTTCCTTATCGTCATGCAAGTCTCACTTTGTGTCGGCGCTGACAGTCGTGTTTGTCAACTCGAAATCTCTCTCATCCATTAAAATTGAGGACACACCAGTGGACGACCCTTCCCTGAAGATTCTCGTGGCTAACAACAGTGACACGCTGCGACTCCTCAAAATGAGCAGCTGTCCTCATGTTTCATCTGATGGTTGGTTGTATTTTTTATATATATATATAAATGGATCGAGAGCTTTTATTATAGTAACAGCAGATTGCTTATTGAAAAGTACATGCCCTTGGAACGTAATTTATTGATTTTATTCAAAGGCAATCTTAATCTTCAAATTAGATGTAAGCTGCATCTTCAGAAAATATTTTTTTAAGAAGTGTGTTATTCTTTTCTAAATTAGTGACCTATATCTTACAATTTCATGCATGCACGTCATATATTATCTTCTTTTGGTCCTCCCCTGCCTGAGTCCCTCTTTCTAGACAGCTCTCCTTCTAATTAATTTCCTTTCCTTTTTTTTTTTTTTTGACCCACTAAGTTTTATGGGATTACTTTCATGAGCGTGGATTGAGTTTATGATTTACCAGTGGCAATACCACTGAAGAAATTCTCTTCTCCTCAGCAACAGTCAATAGAAAAAAATAGCTCATCAGACCCATGATGGTATGCTGGTGACTAACCTTAGCTGCTGTGAGCTCGGGACTGCAAACGAAATGTCATGTCCAGAAGACAGCATTCCGCAGAGTATTTGCCTGTCCCCTGTCTGTTGTGTTCTCTCCACCTGCCTCTTTTGCAGTCGTTCCTGAGTCTTGAGGGAGTTTCATAGATACAGAAGGGTTGAACACCCAGAAGTCACTTATATTCTCAACTCCTGTATCAGCTAAAGTCACTGTTGTAACTGCTATCCACTACAAAATGGGGTTTGTCTGGTCAAGGCTACACAGCACTAACCCATGAGCATAAGATAAATATTCAGATGTCAGTTTGATGGGCACAGCAAGCCTATTCAGCAGAATGACAGTAGACATGTCCATGCCAGATGCCTCCCAACTGTGGGCTTTTAAACAGGGTACAGCACCAAGCATCAATTCTTTTCTGTAGAGTGGGCCTCAGATTTGATTAGAAAGTGGTTGGTTATTCCTATAACAGTCATGCCACTAATGTATCAGCGGGCACCTTTTGCCTAGTAGAGGTTTTGGCACACAGGATTCATAGCCGGGTAAGCTGTTGCTCCCACCCAGCCCCTCAAGCCTTCATAGCATGTTGATGCATTATGAAAGTTAGCCTGCAGGACATTTCAGCTCCATTTTAGCTTGGTTTGTCCATATCCTGCCGCCAGAGCACACGCTCCAGCATCTGCTGTCTCCTTCGCCTTCTCTCTCAGATGTTTTGAAGTTTTCATGGATGACGTTTTCTCTTCCCTGGTTTGGTTCATTCTGAGGTGTGCATGGGGCGGGGCGATTGTGAGCCTGTTGTTCTCCTCATTTCTTCCTCAGCACGTTTGCTACTGGTCCGCAGAAAAGGGGAGTGACTTTTGTGTGTTCATTTTGTGTTCTGCCACTTTTTGTGGGTATTCATCAGCTCTGGAGGTTTCTGGTAGAGTCGTTTGGAGAAGTATGTCATCTTGCAAGGACTTTCCCTCCATCCCTGTTGTCTTCATCTATGGCAGTGAGAAAACACTGTGACCAGAAACTTGGGGAAGAAAGGGTTTAATTTCATCTTACAGCTTACAGTCCATTTCCAGAGACATCAGGGCAGGAACTCAAGACAGGAACCTGGAGACAGGAAGTGATACAGAGGCCATAGAGGAACAAGGAATTCTGGTTACTGGCTGGCTTCCCCATGGCATGCTCAGTCTGCTTTTTTATACATCCCAGGACTACCTACCCAGCACTACCCACAATAGGCTTGGCATTCCAACAGCAATCACTAATGAAGAAAATTCACCTCAGGCATATTCACAGGTCTATGTGGTAGGGGCATTTTCTCAGTTGAGATTGCCTCTTCCCAAGTGACTCTTGTGTCAAATTGACATGAAACCACTGGCATGCTTGTTTACATTCCTTTTATTTGCTTCTCTCACGTCTTCTATGGTTTCTGTTAGGACAGTGTTAGGAGAAAGTGGGCAGCCTCACTCAGTTCCTCAGGTTAGTCAGAGTGACTGAGAGTTTTCCCATTTCTATACCGTCAGCTACAGGCTCATCATATGTAGCCTGCCTTCACTATGTTGAGATACATTCCTCTGGTTCCCAGTTTCTTCAAGGCCTTTATCATGAAGTGTAGCTGCCTTTGCTACTTTGTGGGTTCTTTGTTTTCCCACCCTTTATCCCCCAGTTTTGCCTCCCAATAGTAAATAAACAAAAGAGAGATAGGGGAAAGAGAGGGAGATCCCTGAATCTATTTTTTCTTCTTTTGTTTCTTATTTGAGCACCACTACTGACAAACCACAGTCAGTGCCCCTCCTCCCCCTAAATCCAAGAAACCCCAGGTTCTGCCTCTCAGGGTCTTCACGTTTATACACCCTCTGAAAAGTTCCCAGAATTCCAAACATCATACAATTGCATAAACTATCTGCAAACAGCTATTCGCAACAGCTGGGAAAACCACACTTGTGCTAGAGCACGAAGCAAATCATATTCAGCTGCTGCAGACATCTGAAGCAGCCTGGGATCAAAACGAAAACATGTTCTTGCCACTACGGTGGAGGAATGGGGGCATTTTGTCAAAACCCTTTTCCAATTTGAAATGGGGTGTCTTGTTTGCCACTGTGTACACTGGGTCAGATGGCCCAGGGGCTTCTTGTGGGAGTCCTAGGACTGTAGACATACTGCCACATCCAGCTCACATGGCTCTGGGGTTCCTCATGGCAGCACAGCAAGCTCATTAACTACTGAGGCTGCAAGTACTTGGTTGAGATTTTTGGCATGTATGTTCATCGGGAAGATTGGTTTGTAATTTCTTTTTTCTTTTCTAGCCAATTTAAGTTTACATTTCAAAGGAGTGGGTTTTATCAAGGCATTCTCCTGTACACACATACTTAGCTTTCTTTATGCCTGTTTGCCTCACCTCCTTCTTTGGCCCCTCCCTCCACTTCTGCCCCTCTGCTTTCAGGTCACATGTACCCCACTTCTCTCTCCTGTTTCCCCCCACATCCTCCTTCCCTTTCCTAGCCCCTTCTCATGCTCCATAAGTTTTTTTTTTGTTTTGTTTTGATTTTTGTTTTTGTTTTTTTTTTTTTTTTTTTTGAGCTGACCCAAGCTAAGGTCATTTAGGAAACAGGAACTTCAGTTGAGAAAACACCTCCATCATATTGCCCCAAAGACAAGTCTGTGGGGATTTCTTGGTTAATAATTGATGTGGTCCCACTGCAGGCGGCACCACCTCAGGGCAGGTACCCCTGGGTGGAAAAGCAGACTGAGTGAGTCACGGAAGCAAACCAGTAAGCAGCATCCTCCGTGGTCTCAGCCTCCGGGTTCCTGCTGCATCTTCCCTCAAGATGGACCGTTATCTGGAAGGAAATTGGGACACCTTTAGGATATGCTCTGTGTGTGTGTGTGTGTGTGTGTGTGTGTGTGTACACATGTTTCTTTACCCATTCATCTGTCGACCAATACCTAGACTGTTTCTCTGTCTTGGCTGATATGAAGAGTGTATCAGTCAACATGGATGCCCAAGGCTCCGGTAGGCTGAGTTTGCCTTTTGGGGGGAGTGGGTAGAGGGAGTCTGTGGTAGCCCTGCTTTCAGTTCCTCAGGACTTCCACACTGATTTCCATAGTGGGTACTCCACTTTGTATCTTCCCCTCTCCACCAGTGTGTAAGGGTTTGGGGAAAATTTAATTAACCCGCACACATATAATGATGTATTTTAGCAGCCATTTTCTCAAACATTAGTTATTATTTGTGTAGTAAGATAACCAATAGAAAATTTATATTTACAAAGTTTGTTTTAGAACCAGCGTGATTCTTTGTGCGTAAGGATTTCCCCCGACTTCCCACAGGAATCCTCTGTGTGGCGGACCACTGTCAGGGCCTCCGAGAGCTGGCGCTGAATTACTACATTCTGAGTGACGAACTTCTCCTTGCACTCTCAAGCGAGACTCACGTGAACCTCGAGCATCTCCGAATAGATGTTGTGAGTGAAAACCCCGGACAGATCAAGTTCCACTCTATTAAGAAAGGCAGCTGGGACGCGCTGCTCAGACACTCCCCGGGAGTGAGCGTCGTCATGTACTTCTTTTTGTACGAAGAAGAGTTTGAGACATTCTTCAAAGAGGAAACCCCCGTCACTCACCTCTATTTCGGGCGTGCAGTAAGCAGAACCATCCTGGGCCGGATTGGTCTTAACTGCCCACGGCTGATTGAGTTAGTGGTGTGTGCGAATGGCCTTCAGCCCCTCGACAGCGAACTCATCCGTATCGCTGAGCGCTGTACAAACCTAACCGCCCTGGGCCTGAGCGAGTGTGAAGTCAGCTGCAGTGCGCTCGTTGAGTTTGTAAGACTCTGTGGCAGAAGGCTCACCCAGCTGTCTATCATGGAGGAAGTTCTGGTCCCTGATGACAGATACACCCCAGAGGAAGTCCACACTGAAGTCTCTAAGCACCTGGGAAGAGTGTGGTTTCCGGATGTGATGCCTATCTGGTGACCAGCTACCAAAGATTCCGAATTTTCTGTTAGTAGGGTTAGCTGTTGTCTGTGAACACAAGTGTAAATTTTGAGATGAACTGCTAAAGTAACTTAGGTTAAATCTTTACTCTTTGCAAGTTATCTTAATTGGTTGCTGCAGAATCATTTGAAAACAATGTAACAATTTGAATAGACAGAGATCTTTGTCAGTAAGACACAGACACTGTGTATATTAGACGTTTAATAGGGTAGACTAAAGATACCAAAGATTTACATAGATAGACTTCTTAACCTTTGCCGGCGTATTTTAGCCTCCTAAGTAAATTTATATTAAACCTATAACTAGTATATAATTATAATGTACAGTATTAGATTGGTTTAAATGACATACTTCTATGTTACAACCTTATTTTAATTTCATCTGGTTCATTTTGGTATGGATACATGTTTTACAGAACACATACTGTTGAAAATCAAGGTACCATTATAGAGGTGTACTTCATTGCACTTACAAAATATTTAGCATCTTGTGATTCAGTAAGCAACTTTGAATTCTAGAGTACTTAAATTTCATTTTTAGGTTAACTTGGAGGGCAGTTGACATTATGTTAAAATTCAGTAATATTCATTTCATAAAGATAGAGCAAGACACTAATTATTATTAAAATACACAGTATAGGTAAAGAGGTAAGTTTTGTGGAGTGTGTCTGGGAATCAGTGTTGACTGGCCTGCTGCTGTCAATCTGGGGCTGCACCATGTCCCTTGCACATGTGGCCTGTCTTTTAATTAGGAACACTGGCAATGTCCTTCACCAACCTGTCCTCAGAATGAAGGTTAGTCTTAACATTTGCTGAGTACTTGCCTTCACTGCCATTCACTGTACCTACCCTTTGCCCGCCTCCCACCTTCTCTGTTCCTCAACTGCTCCCCCTCTGAGCTCCCTCAGATCTCTCCCCTGAGGCACATGCTAAGGGAGGCCATCCTTGAGATCCTCCCAGCTCGTGGGTCAGACCCTTCACTCACGCCCCGAGCTTTTGCTCTTCTTTGTAGCACGGACTGCTGTGCTGTGTATGATCTGCTCGTCTCAATATGGCCTGTTTGTCTCACTGTACTGTAAACTCTGCCAGGCCAGTACAAGATTACTGTTATTTTTTTGGTGTGTGTACAGTTACTAGTATTAGAAATCAGCGTTCACCAAAACAAGATGTTTATTGTTTTCCAGCTTTGAATATTTATCATTATCAAAATGTGAGTATCCTCGTTTACTAAGCACTCAGGATGCATTGTAGTTTGTAAATAGTTCGGAAAGTGGACTACCTTCACTCACGCATGCGCACCTGGACTTTGAGCAGGCATCTCACATGCATGTGAGTGTCCTTGTCTTTAGAACTGTGTGTAGCAATAGTGAGTACTGGGTAAAAATAACAATCAAACCTTCTCAAAGACAAAGTTCCCACCACTGCATGCCAGAGTTCCCACCACAGCACATCAGATTTCCCACCACTGTATATCAGAGTTCCCACCACTGCATGCCAGAGTTCCCACCACTGCATGTCAGAGTTCTCACTTAATTCTTTAAGATCCCAGAAAGGTATGCCATAGTTTAAAACTTGAAGCAGCACCACAAGCTTAAGAGAGATGGCTTAACTGCCAGGGAGCTGTGGTCAGGGTAAAGTGAACATTGAATGGATGGGCCTGTGGCCTGCACAGAAAGGTGACACAGTGCCATTGGTGTTTGCCCTAGAGGCTAAGGCAGTAGAAAGAGCAACCAAGAGCCTGGTAGCACCAGAAAAGGAAGACACTGGCCTCTCTGAGGAACATGAGGTGTTCTGCTCTAAGTAGTTTTCAGTGGCCTCCTGTGGGAACCTCATGAACTAAACTCTGTAGTGAGTGACGGAGAAGAACACAGAGTGATCTAAGTTCATGAATTCATGTCCGTTCTCCTAGTTGGTTACCTCCTGGGTCTGTGAAAGAAGGACAGACCATTTTAAAGGCAGCTGAAAACAACACAGGGAAATGCTGTGTTTGCCACCTCACCTGTGGAAGCACCGCCATGTTCTTTGGAATCCTGAGTACTGCTATACCCAGGAGCAGAGCTTCTCCCTGGATGACCGGTCGTAAGCTTTACTTGTAGACAGCATTGTCGACCTGTTCTCAGCCTGCTTATGTTAAAGATATCTCTTTGTGTTTGTTGAAGACTTTTGGGAATTTCCAGGTAATTTTGGGGGCAAAAGTAAGTGGAGAGAGTGGAGAGAAGTATCTTTCTGTACATCAGATTAGAGAAAAACAAACATAGGATCCCTTCATCCCTTTTGCACAGTATGGGGAGATTATTCAGGAGGGTGGGCATGTTTTCAGGGCATCTGCATTGCCGCTGTGCCCCTGAGTGTGATAAACTTCCTCCTGACAGACATCATTCTGGGGACCTAACCTCTTAAATTAGTGACTGACCTGGCTGTTCCTTTAAATTAATTTCTTACTGACTAACTAGCTAACTAAAAGCATTTTCAAAATAAAATCCCTTTATTCATATTAAATTACAGCTATCAAACCCAGAAATGTCTAGCACCGCATTTTTGAGGTGTGTATTGTAACTTTTATGAAGAAAAGCAAGTTACATTGTACCGTTTCATCTTTTGAACTTAGTATCTGAACCCTGGAACCACTTTGACACGGTGCACTAGAGGGCACTGTGTTCTAGGTCCTTCCTAAGACAGATGATCTTCCTCCAGACTTAGCATTTCTATCAAAAGAGTGTGGATGGCAGGCGAAGGCAGCTCTCCCGCTCTGTGGACATTCTCCTTCCCTGTCCTGGGAAATCAGCTTGGTTTTGAAAATGCCATCCGTATATAACTGGGCTTCGCCTCCTAAGCACCAGTCTGGAATGTTGATTAGCTGGAAAGCTGAGCCCAGCTTCACTGTTCAGATAATTCACAGCCCTTCCACGTGCCTTCAGAGCCTACACGTCCTTCTGTGTCTTCAGCAGGATCGTGATGCTTATCTACTGAAAGCTAATGTAATCTCTTGAAACAATCCTAGGTTGTTGGACACCAGTGAGCAATACAGGAAGTCATCAGATAGGACAGTGATGGATACATACTTTTTAAATCAAAGCTGAAATTCTTGATGTACCAGTCTTGCATAGATATTGTGACTTGGTGGACAATGGTACAGACCTGTGTATGTGTATGTATGTATGTATGTATGTATGTATATATATGTATGTATATGATATTTTTATGTGTATATATACATGTATATGTGTGTGTGCGTGTGTGTATGTGTATGTGTGTGTGTGTGTGTGCGTGTGTGCATGCACTGACTGTGCAGTAGGTCCTTCCATGCCTGGGAACCATCACTAACTCTTGTAGCCACGTGCAGGCGTATATGTGCAGTTGCTTCTGTGACACACTATTCATTCACAAGAAGTGCTCATGTACTCCCTTACCCACGCATCTGCAGCTGCAGTGAATGTCATGTGTGGCTCTGCTCTCTCCTGCCCTGAGGTAATTCAGGCCACTATTTCCTTACTTTCTTCCTTAATTTGATCTCCTCTGTGTGTTCAAACTGTGCTGGTTCATCTGATTTGACCTTATAAAAAGAGCAGCCTGCTTTATGTGACTTTTTACATTTTTTTCTTCAATTGCTGTATATTTCTATGGTTTGTCTATGTTATTATATTTAACGGCTCTCCATTTATTCTGACTGCTGTGTAATTTTTGGCCGTGTAATTATGAGCTGGTCTTTAAAATCTGTCTCTGTTAAAGGGCGCTTGGAGTATCCCGGTTTTACCTTGACAGGAAGTGTCTTCATGAACACTATTGTGCATAGGAAAAAAAATGGAGTCATTTCTCCAGTAATAAAGGCCCATTGATTGTCTTTCCTTTAACAAATCTACAAGTCAGGATTGACTCATTGTATATTTGAAAAGGACTTAAGCAAAGTTTCATTAGGGAGATTTCCAGATGATTATTCCAGTTTAGTCATTTCTTATTGATCAACTTGAAGCCAGAACTTATCTCTTCCTTTGCACATTTGTATGGTTATGTTTTCTCTAAGGCGCTTCCTGTCAGCAACATTAAGAAAGAACGATATAGAATACATCATTGGGTGATTGTATGCATGGTGGTATATGGAAGTAAGTTTTGGTGTGCATATACTGTTGCTGGATGAGGCCGCCTGACTCAGCTCATTCGACATATCAGTTAAGGGCAGTTTCTCATGCTGACACTCCTGCATGTATGCAGCCTCACTGAGATCCCAAATATGGCTTGATAGGGACAATGCCACCATTCACTTCCTAGGAAGCCTGTTACTCTTGCGGAGCACAAAAGGGTGTGGACAGAAAGGCCAGCAAACCTTATCCCTGTGAACAGATGGTCCTCCAGCTAGCCTGACATGGTAAGAGCATTGCTGAGAATACATCACCTTAGCTAAGAACAGCCTCTGGTGTTGTCAGTTCTTGTTTATTACGTGTGCTGTTTGAGACCTTGTGAGCAAATATTCACTCTTGTGTCATAGAAAGCCCACTGGACTCCTCCTCACTCTCAGGCAGAGAAGTGAATGGCTTAGAGATCTCAGAATCACAGTCTAGACACATGCGAGTTCACTTGTTTATTTCAGTCACCAGAACTTAAAAATCAAAACCATAAAACACCCTGGTCCCCTAGGGGGCAGGCAGATCAGACCCCACCCCTCAGAGCGGCAATGAGTTGGAATCAGAATTGTGAGCGTTTACATGGATTGTGTTTCTGTTAGAATGCACATTTCTTCAGGAGCAGGGCATGTCCCAGTTTCTGAGATGGCTTTGAGTTTAGGAGATTTGGTCTTTGTCTCTGCTTACAGGTATGCCGTGGGGTCGCTGGAGTCACAGTTTTCAATGTGTACATGCGACTGTATGCCAGGGTAAACTTTCTGCAGGGGCAGCAAGGTGCCCAGCTTCTCCCCCTTTTTGATAGAACCTTTATACTTAATTGGCTTAATGTAGAAAATTTTGACACAGAAACCTAAAAGAAAATGAAGATATTATTTGGGTTTCTGTAGCCATGAGTCACACATTTAAAACAATTTTAAAACACGGGGATAAGTTTGTAGGTTACAGCATTTGCCTTGTAGGCCTGGGGATCTGATTTTGTCCCAATAACCAGTAAAGACATTGAGAGTTGTGGTGTGTGCTTGTAATCTCTGTCCTGGGGAGGTAGAGGCAGATGTCTTCCTGATGCTGCAGTCCTTGGCCATCCTGCCTAGCTTACTGGCGAAGCGTTGGGCCAATTCCAAACAGCCACTTTGGAAAACTGCATAACAGTATCTCCTACAGCTAAAAATAGACACAAGGTATGGCAGCACACTGCTGAGTTCTAAGTGTGCTGGTCACAGTGGAATCTGGAACCAGAGAAGTAGCCACAGGCAGGTGGGATGCCCTGGGACCACTTGAAGATGAATCTTAGTACATGGATGCATTGAACAGCTGACCCAGTAACCCCCTAGTCTGACTGGAGGGAGGAGTTATTCTGGCTCATGGGTAATTTGACTAAGAACAGCTCCTGTAAACTCATATATTTGATTGGTCCCAAGCTGGAACTGTTTTGGAAGAGTTAGGAGGCGTGGCCTTGTTAAAAGAGATGTGTCACACTGAGTGGGCTTTTGGAAGTTTCACAAGTCCACTCCATTGCCAGTTAGCTGTGGTGGTGTTCTCTCTCTCTCTCTCTCTCTCTCTCTCTCTCTCTCTCTCTCTCTCTCTGTGTGTGTGTGTGTGTGTGTGTGTGTGTGTGTGTGTGTGTGTGTGTGTGATTGGCTTGGAGCTCACCCATTATTCTAGCCTGGTTGGTCAGCAAATCCCAGGGATCCTCTGCCTGGACTTCCCCAGTGCTGGGGTTAAAGGGCACACTATCATGTTGGGTTTTCGATGTGGATTCTGGAGGTGCCACTCAGTCCTAGTGCTTGAGAGGCATGAACTTTACAGAACAGGCTCTCTCCCCAGCCTTGGCCTGTAATAACATGTATGTTCACTTCTGTGGTGGTGTGGTGGTGAATCTTTGCTGTTTGTCTGACTGGAATTAGAACCATTAGAAGACAGTCAAAGGATTTCCACTGAGGTTTAACCAAAGAGGAAAGGCTCTTCCCAGCATCAGTGGCTCAGGGCTCAGACTGAGTAAAGGAGGGAGGAGGGCCTGGGGAGCACCAGCACTCATCCCTGTTTTCCGACTGCAGGTCCAGTGTGAGCAGCCACACGTGCTCTCACTGCCGTGCCTTTTCTGACAAACTAATTTTTTTTTTGTCACAGTAAAGGGGACGTTCCAGGGGACAACTCATCACCAAGCCTTTGAGGGACCCCAAGCCTTTGAAGAGCTGTTCCCTGGCTGTTTTCTGTTGCCTAAATGGCAGCAGGAATTGGTGCCATTAAATTGTGTCTCTGCAGTGATACTTCCTAGCCAAGGCTGAGGTCAAGGTGGCCAAGAGATAACAGAGTAATCAGATTCATCCAAACCTTACAGATCCTGTGACCCTAGAAAGGAATAGATGGGTGGTCCTCCTAAAGCCTTAATGGATATATACGCATGAACAAAAATAAGTAAACAAATGTCAAACATTGGAGGAAAAGGTACTTTCCCCAGGTAGATGGCACCTGAGGAAAACCACACAAGGTTGTCCCGTGGCCGCCATAAGATCTCATGTGCATGCGCATACATACAAGTGCTCCTGCACATAGGAACTTGCGAGTGCATGAGCATGCACACACACACACACACATGCACACACACAGTGCAAGAAGGACTGGGCGTATATAGCCTAGTGATAGAGCCAGTGTGTACACTACTCCAGCTTCTGTTCTCAGCACCACAACAGGAACCTAAAAATCCCTAGCAACATTTTTCCACTCACCTAAAACTGGAAGTTACTACGGTATCCATCTGAAGATGGGAGCAAGCAGAATATGTACAATACAAGAACAAACACGGCCTTTGGGGGATTTTATGCTCAGCTCACTAGCCCACTTCCATGACCAGGAATGTTCTCTCTCCTTTTAAAATAAGCTATATTTATTCGTTTCTAGCCAAAAAGAATGAACACAGACATAAGAACACAGGGGTGTACAAGGAACTACATAAGAAATAGTGCAGACTGCTTAATTCCACATATCCTGTGGCCAGACTAACTTGTGCTGGTGGTCAGTGACTGTCCTTGCTGGGAGCAGTGGTATAGTGCCAGCACAGGGGGCATCTGGGAGGCTGGTCCTGTTCTGTCATGTTGCCCAAATGTTAACAGCTCATGGAATTACACTCTTCTACAGTCTACAGTTATGTTCACGTATTGCATCTCAATAGAATTCAAATGAACAAAGAGCCCATGCAGACCCTGGGGACCGGCCTTACCAAACAGAGGCATTCAGAAATAGTTCACATTCAACTGCTGCAGAAGTTAGTGAACTGTGGGACGGTGGTAAATGGAAGTGTGTGTCTGTTGTGGTCACTACTGTGGATATAAGTTCTGCCCAGTCTTCTAAGCAAAGGTACCTGGGCCACAGAAGGGGACAGACATGTCAGCTATGGAGTTTGGTGATCTTTTTATACAGTCAGGCTTCAGGGAGACATGAGGCACTTTCTGTTTTGTGCTTGGGTTGTCCTGTATGTTCTAGACCTTACTATCTTGGAAGAAACATGAAACTTCTGTGTATGGAACCTGCATGAAATAACTAAGACTCGGTACCCAGACCGTGTCCCAGATCGAGACTCTTACCTCTCCCAGACAGCCGAACACCATCATTGATGGCATTTTTATTTCTGTAGGGTTTCTCCTGGCCCACTATCTTCCCGGTGAATGGTGCATATACCGAAGATCCATCTGAGCACAGAACGTCCAGACCTGGGTGATGCCTTTGGGTTCTAGAATATAAATAAGCACCATCAGAGGAGGTGTCCCAGGGAAATGTATTGCTAGAATTATATTCTTAGTGCACAGCTCACAGCCTTGGTCATCAAAACTTGAAGCAGCCAGAAGATATTGCAGTGCCCAGGATATTTTACTCTGTTCAGCCCAGTTTTATCCTCTCTGTCCACATGTACTAATGATTACATTGTAAAGAGTAAATAATTTAAAATGATATTTGATTTACGATAAGCCTTAGATGATGATAATGATGATGTTTAAGGCATATAATATTATCATTATTATGTGGTATTTTAAAAACAAAGTGTACAAAATACATTTTCTGAATTTTGACCCCTTGTAGGCCTTTTACTTTTCAGTGTTGGGAATCAAACCCAGGGCCTGGTAGGTCCTAGGCCAGTGCTGTACCACTGAGCTACACACTTCTTCTCAAAACCAATTTTAAAATGTTACTGTTTTAGGGAACCCATTGTATAACAAATACCATGTGTTTCCCAAGTCTTTTTTTTCTCATAGCAAAAGTACTTATAAACTTAATCTTTTCTAACACAGTAAGGGATTCCTCTCAGGCTTGTCAAATCCCATGGCACATAAACAAAATCATTCCATGTAGTGAGGCTTCTTGAATTTGTCTCTCTGATACAGCAATTCTGGCTTCCTATGGCTCTCACTGCCTGTCTTCCCAGGATCCTTTTCCCTCCTAGTGGGCACCACTGAACCATCAGAGTCACAAAGATGGGACCTTCAGACTTGTATATAAGGCCACATTGATCAGCGTCCATGGGAAGAGCCCAGAAATCACTTTTGAGTGTGCATTCAGGCAAATCTTCTGTCTGTTTGCCATCTTTCAGTCCTGTCCTGCATATTGGTACATCTGTGTAAGTAGTGGCATGTGAGATCCCTACTCTGATTAGGGTGGAAATCAATGATGTCGTTTGACAGGTGGCTGCTTTGTGCATGGTGCACATGTGATTGGAACTTCAGGAGTGTGACCCTCATCTGAAAGGGATCAACACATTCTTGCTTGCTTAAGGTCAGCCTCTAATATTCAAATTCCAGGACCTTGGTCAGTAACAGCATGCTGAATGCAAAAATAATCAAAAAGGCTGCATTCAAATGTAGCCTTTACCATCTCCAACTCTGCTGGATGATCAACCAGTTCAAATTTCTTATCTATAAGATGCAATAAGGTAGTTTTGGTTTTCATATTGGAGAGCCAGGTGAGATGTGTGGAAAATTTGAGAAGGAACAACAGCATCAGCAACAACAACAACATCAACAACAACAATAACAATATCAACAACAATAACAACCACAACAATAACAACATCAACAACAATAACAACCACAACAACATCAACAACAATAACATCAACAACAATAACATCATCAACAACAACAATAACAATATCAACAACAATAACAACATCAACAACAATAACAACATCAACAACAATAACAACATCA